CTCCCCCCCCTCCCCCGGTAGGGCGGCTCTGTCAAAGCGCGCGCCGCGCTCTACCTCATCCGCGACGCCGAGGAGAAGGGGCTGCTGACTCCCGGCCAGCCCGGCGTCATCGTCGAGGCCACCGCGGGGAACACTGGCATCAGCCTGGCGGAGGTCGCGTCCTCGCGCGGGTATAAATGCGTCATTGTTATTCCGAGCAGCCAGTCGCAGGAGAAGAAGGACGCGCTCAAATACGCTGGCGCGGACCTCGTGCAGGTCCCGCCGAAGCCGTACTCCAACCCGAACAACTACGTCAAGTTCGGCGCGCGCTTGGCGCGCGAGCTCGGCGCCGTCTTCACCAGCCAGTTTGACAACACCGCGAACCGCGCAGCCCATGTGGCTACCACCGGCCCGGAGATCTGGGCCCAACTCAAGGGCGAGGTCCACGGGTTTAGCTGTGCGGTCGGCACCGGCGGCACGCTCGCGGGCACGGCAGAGTATTTGAGGAGCGTGAGTGATACGGTTAAGATCGCTATTACGGATCCGTGCGGGGCGAAGTTGGTTAGGTTTTATAGGGATGGACAGCTCAAGGCGGAGGGTGATTCTATCTCGGAGGGCATTGGCCAGGGCAGGATTACCGGCAACCTCGACGGGTTTAAGCCGGATTATGCATTTGAGATTCCGGACGGCGAGGTAAGATGAGGCCTTGTTTCCTTGCTTTCCTTCTGCATCGCATATTGGTGCTGATGTGCTGACAACCGTCTTTCTCTTTGTGTGTGTGTGTGTGTGTGTGCGCGTGTGTGTTTGTCTTGCGTGTGGAAAAAAGGCTCTCAAGATTGTTTATGACCTGATGCAGGAAGAAGGCATGTGTCTTGGAACGTCATCCGGGATTAATATTGCTGGAGCAATGCGTCTTGCAAAGGAACTCGGTCCTGGCCACAACCTCGTCACAATTCTCTGCGATCTCGGGACTCGGTATACTGGAAAGCTGTTCAACGCGCCGTACCTCGCGGAGAAGGGACTCCCGCAGCCAGAATGGCTTGCTCAAGACTTGTCGCAAGCCGTCACAGCCGCAGTCGAAAGGACCACAATCCCAGACGAGCAAGCTGCGGCCGAGCAAGCCGAAAACGCCGCAAAGGCCGCAGCGAACCCATAAAAACACTTGACTTCGAAACAGGACCGTAGATCGAAGTCATCCAAGTCCATAAATCACAGAAGGACAGGCTTGGAGGGGTGACGCCGTTCGTAGTGGCATGGGTTTTGTTTTACATAGTAACTCTCTAACGACTGAACCGACTGAACACATGACAGGCAACGAAAAAACACTATTGTGCCTTTTCTTGCGCCTCCTTTGCCGCCGCCAAATCTCTACAAAACGGCCCGCCCGCCGGTGTCTTGAGGCTGGTACGGCCTTGCGGTCCCTCACACCCGTTGCGGTCTATCTGCGGTCCGATCTTCGGTTGCCTGCCAGCCTTGAGGTCCGAGAGCACGCTCTTGACAGTCTTCTTGGTAAGATCCTCGTAGAAGTGATCATTGATTTGCACCATAGGCGCGTTAACACACGCTCCCAGACACTCGGCTTCCATCACATGAAACAGGCCATCTGCGGTATCTCCCCCCACCTCAACGCCCAAGTGCTCCTTCACGGCGTCAAGAATATCATAAGCACCTCGCAGCATGCACGGCGTCGTGGTGCACACCTGCACGTTGTACTTTCCGATCTTGTCGCGGTTGAACATGGTGTAAAAGCTGGCCACCTCGTACACGCGGATCGGCGCCATCCCCAGTAGCTTTGCGACCTTGTTCATCGCCGACAGCGGGAGCCATCCGCCGTTCTGTCTCTGCGCGAGATCGAGCAGCGGGATGACGGCGGACGCGGCGTAGTTCTTCGGGTAGCGCTTCAGGATCGTCTGAATCTGGGCGTAGTTCTCGTCGGAAAAGTCGAATGGCGTGTCCACCGTGTTGTCCGCCGAGTCGCGATGCACGTTCAGGCCGCCCGCGTACGCGGGGGCGGTCGGTGACCATGCGCCGCGCTTCTGCATCGCCGCGGGTCGCAGCAGCGCGGCCTCGTCGGCAATGAGGGCGGGGGCGGACGGAGCGACGCGCGAGACGCGCGAGACGCGACGCAGCGCACTTGCTCCGGCGCGTAGCATTGCCATGGATGTTTTGGCTGTGATGCCGGCTTCGTACGCGCCAGGACAGATCGCACGACGACGACGGCCGGGGGCTGCCAGCTAGGTGCGCAGACGGATGAGCTCCAATTGCGAGAGGGTTGGCTTGCGTGGTGGCGATGGCAATGATGGCAGCTGGCAGGGCACGAGGTCATCCACAAGATCGACCTGGAGCAAAGAGACAAGGCGCGCTTCTATCCAATCTCAGCCGTGAAAAATGGACCACTCTATTTACGATATTGGACACGTGTCGTACGAATTACGAATTCTTCACTTGAACAGCGGGGGGATGAAGGCGGAGGAGGCACGTTGCCGGTTATATATATAACCGGGAATAGACAAAGGGGGGAGAACAACTGCCTCGGTACTGCTGATGCCTGCACCCTTTCAGTTAGGAGTTGGGAATGGCAAGGGGACAGCGATGCCCGGATTTGCTTTCAGCCAGCCCGGACTTCATTCTGCTTTTTTGAGCATCTCTCATACGCCATCTGCTGCCAAGTGCTCCAGGCGGCGAACAGCACTATGCATGAAGACGTCATTACAGGCTGCCCGCGAACAAGTCATGAAAGTCCTTGCTATAGATTTAGCAAGACAATATCAAGCACCACGAGAAATGGACTTCAGTATATATGATGATAAAGTTACGTTCGACGACCCGACGACAAAGCTGCAAGGAAAGCTAATGTACAAGGTAAGTCTATCGTCAGCCAAAAGAGCACATGTAGTTTATCAGAAGCAGGGGCCAGGGGAAGCAAACAAGTCTAACATGCTAACATCCACTTCTTTGTCTTTGTATTATAGGGTATGTTGCTGTCAATTGGCTTGGTCATCCTCCCTTTTTTCTTCAAGAACGATACTGTTTTCGAGTTGAATGAATGTGAATTGACTGAACACGGAGACAAGATTCGCACAGTTTTTGCTACCAAAGGGACAACCAGGTGGGGAAGTGAGGTCGTGATATCGGGTGAGGATTTCTTTTGGTTTGGGGATAGATCAAGCAAAATTGTACGCCACCAGTCCACCTGGGATCAGAGCGCGGGAGAAGTCATGAACGCTTTGCGCGGCCAAACTTGATGAAAATTTCAGTCTATTGTCTCACGAAAATGACTGCTTCTTGCTGTGGGATTCTTGGAAAGGAACAGATTCAAGATTGGCGTATGCACTGCGTCTATAGAAAACATGCTTTTGAAAGATGCCCCCTACAGATACAGGCCCTCAAAAAGCTTGACTACCTGCATCTCATTGTTTTCTACGGGCAATCTGCCGACCGTTTGCAGTTTTGCGTTACATGTCTTTATTGACGTCGACTGTACTTCTGTACTGTGGCTGCTAGTCAACTTAATGCTGCGTGTCTTATTCCATACAATCATTTGTGGCTGCTCCTTTGCTTGGTCATAGAAAAAGAGCCCCCGCCTTTCAGGTGTGGTCTGTGCAACTCGCCGTGCTTTCTACAACTATACTATTTGACGAAAATTTGCCATGACATGAGGTTCAGTCGGGGCAAAAGTTCGAACTGCATCGGAATGGCTTGTACCAAGTTCGGTGATTTGCCAAACACGTTTGTGACAGGGCCTTCCTTAATTCCACACCTTACAGTTCAGTCCATGTGAGTGATCAGACATTAAAACTGAGCCTTTTGGTGATGCATTTTCTTGCGAATTCAAATGAATAACGCTGTATGCAGTAGCCTACCGTACACGTACTGTATGGTACGAATCTCAACATGCCCGGTGGACGGCGATACATTAGGGCAATGGCAATGGGAAGCAACGGCAACCAAAAAACCGGATGCGGAGAGAGTGGAACGGCGAGTCTTTCTGCCCCGATGTCACTGTGATTGAGCAAAGGTATTCGTTCGTTGTACTGCGGCGTTCGCCTGCGTTGACAGCCAGCCCACTTTGCCTTAAACAGCCTTGAAAGGCAGTAGTTACCTCAACAGCACGTCTGGCTACTTGATGCCGCCTCCGACGCGAGTGCGCCGCACAACTCGGAGCGACCTTCCGTACTACAACGCCTCGAAGCCCTCCGAATCCCCATCGAATAGCGTGTCGGATCTCCGCAAGTCGATGGTACAATGGACTCGCTCAGGACGCTCGTATGCTTTGGCGGCGCTTGCTTTGTTCACGCTCGTTTACATTTGGGACCCCCCACCACTGCACGCTGCACGGTCAGCCCTCTGCTCGGGTCGTAAGTTGGTTTCAAATGCAATCCCAACAGCACCTGTCCTTCTTGACCGATTCGCAGATGTCGCTTCAGAGACTGAGCGTCATCCGCAGTGGAAGGACCTGACAACCCTCGTCATGGTCGCGGGACATGCTATTTATACGGGCCAGAGTTGGGAGACCAATTCTCTGATGAATGAGGACAACTGGATTCTTGAGGACTTTCAGAAAGGTCAAGTAGGGACTTTTATGAAGCATATTGAGAAGGGTGTTCAGCTTGCCGCAAACGATTCCTCCTCTCTTCTGTTGTTTTCTGGTGGACAGACGCGGAAAAATGCTGGTCCGCGGAGTGAGGGAGGAACGTATTGGATGGTTGCCAATGCAAATGGATGGTATGGCTATGGAACGCATGGCGTGCAGCAGCGAGCACTTTCAGAGGAATACGCAAGGGACTCGTTAGAAAATCTCCTCTTTTCCGTCTGCCGATTTAATCAAGTTGTTGGGCGCTATCCACTTAACATCGACGTGGTTAGTTTCGGTTTTAAAAGGGTGCGGTTTATAGACGTACACAGGAAAGCCCTGCGGTTTCCAATCGAGAGGTTTCGCTTTCATGGCATTGATCCTGATGGAACGGAGGGGATGAGGTCCTTATCTGCGAACGAGCGCTCACAGGCGATGGGGCCATTTGCCGGGGATCCGTACGGCTGCAATACACCTGTCCTCAGCGGAAAGAAAACGGAGCGAAACCCGTACATACGATATCATCCCTACCCTCAAGGATGCCCAGAACTGGCCCCATTGTTTAAACACTGCGGCCGTTCCGTCTTCAGCGGACCATTGCCTTGGGATCCTCGGATAAGTCTCTCAACGACAGACCAGGAGTGAGTCTGCAGTTTTAACGTTCTTGAGCGCTTCCGTTAATGGGTGTCGATTGATTTCATCTAATCAGCACTACGAATCAAAATTTGCGCATCGCCGTCCTTCTCACTTCGCAGTTCAAATCTGGTTAGAGTGACCTACTGCACAATGGTGCGGAGTACCGCAGGGAAGGCTATCTCCGGCTTTCATGCCCTGAGGCAGAACATAAAGAAGGGGTATTGTGAGTATCCATCGTCAGTATAGGTGTGCCCTTCGAAGGATAATCAAGGCGACCTAGTCAGCATGGCGGCCGGAATGCTCAGCCATTCCGTTCTGGACTTCGTGATGCAATCCATTCTCATTAGCGTGCTTCGATATGTGCGCCATGGTTTGGGAGTTAATAGATGCGACGTTCTTGCTGTCCCACACCTTGCGTTGTGCCACAAGAGCAGAAGTCTCGGAAGGAACATGGACTTCATTCTTCGACATAGAACTCGGTTCAGCTCTCTTCATGTCTTGGCCCAACGATAACGTCTTATTTCGCGGTTCAGACTTAGTAGACTGCTGCCCGGTTGTTACGGGATATGTTCCAGGCACAGAAATGTGGGCTTCTTGTCGCGCGGTAGGTTGTAGTTGCAATTGAGACGGTGGAGAGGATTCCACCTTATGCCCGTTCGCAAAGCTCAGGATAGTACTTGCCTCCTGCATGTCTTTCATCTCGGTATTGCATGTTACCGGGAGACTGGTATTTCCCGGTACATGGACTTCACTGTGCTTTGAAGTCGGGAATGTCTTTGTTTCACTGGTTCCTGCTGATAGAGCTTTAGATGTTCCATTCGGCTTTGCCGCGCTTGCCGTTTTGTCATTCGTCCGTCCAGCTTTTTCTTTCGCTAGGGCTACTTTCGGCTTCGGCTTTCGAGATCGAATCTTCGATTTTGTGGCTGCGCGCAACAAACCAGATAATATGGTCGACACCGCACGTGGAATGGGTTTTCCGGATGACAGACGACGCTTTGGCTTGGCTGATTTTTTTGGTTCTGCCTCTGCTTGCGCCTTCGATGGCTTCGCGCTGTCCCCAGTGCTCGCCTTTTGGTCGCTTTCTACCGCCAGAGCGGCCTTGGATTTCCGAAGTGCTGCTTGAATTTGAAGATCTTCAGCTCTTATCTTCCTTTTCAATTCCCGCACGAATCCCGACTGCAACACAGGTCTACGCCCTAGGCTTTCCATCTGCGCGACAATGAAACGCTTCTCCTTCAGAATGTCTGTGGTAGTATACGATTGCATTTCTTCATATCGATAGGACAGCAAGTCCACCGCACGACCATATGTCAGCTCTGCGGACTTGTATGTTGCGCCAAGAATGGCAGTGCGAATACACAGCTCATATTTTCTTCTTGTCGAAGTGAATGCCTCTCGATATTCGGTACTAGCTTCCCGCAACTCGTACCAAGCATACTTAGACTTCACCCATAGTTTGGGCTCTATGCCATATTCAATGCTCCAATCTATGACTTCATCGATAGTAACGAGTCTTGCATTCGCTGCTGACTTGAGTGGCGGCAAGAGCACCCCGAAACCAATGATGGGAGAAGCACTCGTTTCGCAAGTCTCCAATGGAGCATCAGCAAAATCGGCCTTCAGGGCAAAGAAAAACTTGTCAAGCACGCGTATCGGCTCCTTGTCGTCTGGGTTAATCGACCATGTGTATGCTTCTTCAACGCATTGTTCTGATGTTTTAAGAGATGTGTCATCTTGTTTGGAGGAGGATTCGACAGCTTCCCCGCTCTGGTGAACCTCTTCACTAGTCGTATCAGCAGCCTGATGGCTTCTGTTTTCTTGACCTTCATGAATGACTTCCTCTCGACCACCGGCTTCAGCATGGTTCGGTTTTTTGTCCGTATACCCCTCGTTGTTGCCTTTGAGTAACGCATCATTCCCATTTGAAGCGCCGGGAAGTTGCTGCAGGGTCTCATCTTTGCTGTGATGAGGGTCGGATTCTGCCATTTTTTCCGCAAGAACGTTTTGGGCGACTTTTGTGTCTTCGACAGTGGGGGATGGCGAAGTAGTCAAGTCCTGACCTCGTCGAGAAGTCCGTAAAGTCCGCGTGCTCCTCCGCACTGCTCCCTGAATGACGATAGCTTCCTGTTTGATGGCTTCCCGATCCATTTTGTGCCGCAGACGGTCATCTCTGTCAATTGCATCTGTCCTTCCGTGGGCACGCCTAGAAATTCGAATACTCCTAGATTGCTCTTTTTGCAAAGAAACTACTTGGGATCTCAAAGCCTCAGCGCGTGCGGCGATCTCTTGCAAGTGGGCTTGCTCACGTTCCTCCTCTTCAGCCACCCGACGTGCTTCCTTCTCGCGCTTCTCCTCAAGAGCTTGGACCCTCGACGAACGTTTCTGCACGGAAAACGACGCTTCATGACGCATCTTTCTTTCAACTCGTTCTTGTTCCTTCCTAATTTTTTCTTCTCTCTCCAAAATTTCAGGCATAAGGTCATCTTCTAAAAACCGGACCAACGCTTTCTCTGACGGCAGAACCCCACCTTTCTCAGACCGAAATCTATCGATTAGTTGTTCGAGCTCACTAGACCCAGTCGATATCAGCTCCCACTTATTACACACTCTCAAGTCCAGATCATCAAATACGTCATTTCTGCGGGGCCTCTTTTTCGTTCGGACAGGAGCGTCGTCCGGTTCACTTTGCGTCGCCTTCCGCCGTCTCCCCGATGTCCGCCTTTCGGGGTGTGCCCCATGAGAGCGTCTCTTCTGAGGGATAGAATCTGTATCAGAGTGGCCCTCTCCGTCATGCTTTTCATCTAATTCCGAAGTGTCATCCTCAGTTCGTCTAGTCTTTCTCCTAGCAGAAGAACCTGCAGATGCCGCAGGTGAAACACCCTCCGATTCATTCATAACTGCGCTTTCCGCCCTACTTGAAGCACGCGTTTTGCGCGCAACCGCAACGCGTGGGCCCCATTTTTCTTTGGATTTCCTCTCGCGCTCTTTTCGCCGCAATCTGATTTCCTCGCGTTTTCTCTCCGCTTCCTTTCGTTTCTCCTCCCTCGCTAGCTTTGCTGCCTTCTGGGCGGCAGCTTTGGCGATCTCTTTCGCAGCCTTTGCACTTTCGTCCGCTTGTTGGCGCCTTGTTTTTTGGAGTTTTTTCCCCGGTTCTCGATACACACGTTCGCAATCTTCAAAATACCAATACTTGTTCCCAACGGCGTCACTTCCCACTGGATACTGTCGCAACTCGAAAATGTCGAAATCTGTGATTGATCCGGCATGCAACAGCGTCTCATGGTCAGCGAGCACAATTTCGGCTATAGTATGCAATACAAGGAGTCTCGTGGACGGAGAGAAATGAAAGTATGTTTCTTCTTCTGTGGGAAACGGTCTGCTCTCAACCTGCGTTTGATCTAAGGCACCGTCGTCATTTCCTCCGTCGTGTGCGCTTTCATCGACCACGTCTGCTCCAACATCTTTCATTTCAGCATCCGCGCTCTCCTTCAGCGCAGGAGCAGCCTGCTCTTGCTCCGTGGGAATGAAACGGAAGTCATCAGGGCGATGTCGAACGAAGCGGAAGGTATACGTCATCCAATTCTTCGCAGAAGACGCACCGGCCGAGAGTCGCAAAAGCCGCCCGTGTATGTTCGCAATCATGGTCATGTGTTCGCGCGGATTCAGCAGCGCATCCTCGAATTGAGACGGCGTCGGAGCGGAAAAGGATAGAACGCGGGAAAAGAGGCTGATCAGCTTCCATGTCGCGGGAAGCTCCCACATGGAACGGAGTTCCGCTCTGCCGTCCATCTGGCCAGCTCAACCTTGCAGAAACGAAGCTCGTCTGGCTAGACTTCGTGTGACTCGGCCACCATCAGTTGCGAGGACCTTCTTTCAACGTCGGCGGGGAAAGGTCTGTCCTCTCCGTGCGGGGGGTTGCTGTGGGCGAGCGTTTTGTGTGCAAATAGCCAGGGTATCGGCAGTCGTGATTGGCGGAAAATAACGAAAACATTAATGCTTTATATAGGTCGAATAATAAAACTAATATAATGGTAGACATGTGCCTAATCAGGGCGCAGCTGGTGTACGGGTACGAGTCATCAACAACTTCGGAGGAACCAGGCCCAAGCCATTGAAGCGGAGCGAAAGTGTCTATGGCTCAGAGCGCCCTCTGGTCTTTCATGGGACAACCCAGCTCTTACGACTCGAAAAGCCTGAACTCTTTTTGATGAACCGTTCGAAAACCTGAAGAGTAAATATGCCGGCAGGAGAGCAGATCAACCTTTCATCTCCTCTCCAATTGAAGGGCACACGACGTCAGAGAAGAACTAGAGATATTGAAATCCCTGGGTAAAATGAAAGAAGGGAGACCAAGTTCGTCTCTGCAGCGTCCTCCCGCGCTTAAATTCCAGTCGCAGCCCCGTGCGCGAGCTGGCAACTTGCAATTCACGTTTTGGCTGATCTCTGCTTCGGAGCGTTCGACGCAACTGCTCTAAAACAATGCAGATAGCTCGTTCAAATGGTTCTGTCTGTACTGCGCCGCCATGCTCGTTTAATGGGGTTGCCTGCTTTTTGAGGCACCGTACATGGTAACATAGACAGAAGCCATCTCCCAGCAGCTCTCTAGTATACAACCCACTGGGCAGTGTGCAGTGTCTCGCAAATGAATGTCGCTGCATTGTTTCCCGTTTTCAGGACGACCCAGGTCCGGCCACAGCCATTATCGCCACGGTGTTGACCACAGGGCCAACTCTGCAGCTATGTTCATTCGCAAGAAATTGGACGCCGTTTAGTAGGTTCTAGCTGGATGTTCGTCCTATGGCATGAAGAGCTGAGCAATTGCGATGTGGCGTAGTACATGTGTCGCAGTCATGGAGACGGGGGCTCTAGTCTTTATCCGACCAAGCGTTATCATAACATATAAATCTGCTAAATTTATTTCTTTTCAACTTTGATGTCCACGGTTTCTATTTTTCTTTCGTATGTTGACTCGTTTTAAAATTTTCTAAAGTCAGAAGTTCTGACTTTAGAAAATTTTAAAACGTTGAGTGCTTTCTGGTCGGTTCTGACTCAGAACCGACCAGAAAGCACTCAACGCAATGCTTCGGTATAAAATTAACTTAAAGAAAAATGCGTACTGTAAGCCAACATTTTCTTTTGAACAGCTTGATATGCGTCAACGAATTCGTTTTCGCTACAATTGACGAGCAGGTGCTTTACCTGCGGTGATGAACTTCTAGTTGCAAAAAAACAGAACTTAAATTGCGGTTTGTGTTGTCTAGAAAAAAAAACTCTTGTCCTCATATGAGGACTAACGGTCCGATAGACAAGTGTCTATCGGACTAGACAAGAAGCGCAGTTATGAGTACTCTAGAAAACCAAGAATCTGATGGAATTTTAATACCCAGTTGCCTTTTTGAATGGGCGTTTTGTAATTAAAGGATACGTGACGTTTCAAAGTTGCTCAAAAAAGCTTCTATGCCAAGCATATCTAAAAACGACCGAAAAGGACATGCATTTCTCACTAAAATCTTCCCTTCCGCAACGTAATCGTCAAGTGCGGTGACAAAGGGTTTCTTTCTCCTCCTTACCGCGAAAGCACAGGTCCAGAAAAAGGATGTTGAGAAGTAACCTCATATTGTATGAGGTTAATTGGCCTCATACAGTACATACGGTATGGGGTCACTTGTCATCTAGACGCTTGAGGAGATGGCTTACGTCACCGGCTTCCGCCTGTCTTGGGGCATGGCCCATTGGTGCTTCTGAAGATGAGCTCTCTCGCGCACTACACAATACAGTACAAGGGGGGGGGGGGACGCCCATTAGTGCCGCTTTTACTTATGCCACCCTCCCACTAATGCCGGCCAGACACACGAACACGAAAAGTGCCACGTGTCACACGGGTCCGGGTGTTATGCTGCCGTCCGTCCGTCGCGCTTGAAAACATGTGAAAGGACGCTTTTGAGACGGTTCAGGGTGTGACGAACTCAACTACAACGCAATCAAGTGATGAAGATGGGAGTGCAGAGGACGCAAGAGAGAGAAGGACCATACCCTCTGTCGTTGAGACCGCGAAATCGTTTGGAGAGTGTGATTCCACACAAACAGGCAAATAAGGCACAGCCTTATTTATAGACGTACGATAGGACATAGAGTCAGTAAATATACCGGCGCCGGCGGCCCTCCGCGGTCAGGGGGACCCCGGCATCCGGATCTCTTGGTTCACAGAGAGCTGGAAGTTTTGGCGACTGAATGCCAAGTTTCATACCCTCTATAGTATCTGAGGTCGGCAAAGCGCGCGTTTCTCACTGCAAAACACATTAGAGAACCAAGCGGAGCAGGCAGACATTAATTACCGAGTGCATGAAAATAGATGTGACGACGTCACCTACTAATGCCATCTCCCAATAGTGCCTATTTTTTGGGGTCGCGCTCAGGGCAGCACTAATGGGTCGGGTCCACTGTACCAAGGATACAGTACTGGCCCCACTGTGGCATTCGCTGAGCGTGCCCAATGTCGGTTACTAAGCGGATACGGTAGAATGGGACAGGAGTTCATTTTGATCACACTGCAAACTATTTTCCTGAAAAAAAGTTTGCCCCCAACTCTGTCTGAGCTGATTGATATCGTCGGTGACAAAGTTTTCTGTTTAAGATAGCTTGACTACTCCTGAGGGTAACAGCACGTGCAACTAACCCCTCGGGCTCCGTCCTGTTGGTCAATTCGCCTTGCTAAAATGCTGCGGTCTGTATCGCGGGTCCATAGGGTCTCAACGCGAGGTTTTACTACGCAATGGAAGCAACAGCGTGATGCAGACGTCTATGCCTACAGAGCAATTAAAGAAGGTATGCGAAGTCGCGCGGCCTACAAGTTGGATGAAATCAACAAGCGCTTCGGCAACTTTCTTCGGCAGGTGCGTTCATTCTAATGCCTTTGGTTTCACAAAGAAGAGAGACTTTCTAGCGAGTTTGTCTTAACACTACTAACAGCCGCGTTCTTTTCATCTTTTAGGGTGCCATAGTTGTAGATTTAGGAGCCGCCCCTGGCGGGTTTTCTGTGGTCGCCTCGAAACACATACATCTGAAGAGTATCACGCATGATAGATGGAACTCAATCGAGGATATGGACAGCCATTTTGCGCCAGCTGATATTGCGCGGAGTGTCGGTGGGATGCAAGTGCGACGGAAGTTTGGACAGGTAAGGAATTTTTCCGTGCTTGCTCTATAGCTCAGTAGGAGCCAAACGCCTTCTTAGGGATGCAGACTGTATCTAACGCATAGTACTGAGCTATTGATCGCGAATCAGCTGATATGCGTGGACAAGCAGGACATGGATCCGGTGCCGGGCGCAGTTTTCGTGCGTGGTGACATGAACACAGACAACACGTATCAAAAAATATTGTATGCTTTGAATGGAAAAGAGGCGGACGTGGTGATATCCGATATGGCGCCGTCGACGACGGGTCAAAAGGAACAGGACCATTTTCAAATAATGCAGTTGGCTGAAGAGGCGCTGCATGTCGCCGATAAAGTTTTACGGAATGGGGGAACATTTTGTTGTAAGATATTTTCGGGGGGCGATGAGGTCGATTTCCGAAAAGACCTCGAGTCGAGCTTCCTCAAGGTCAAGGGGTTCAAGCCTGCGGCGAGTCGGAAAAGTTCGAAGGAGATTTATTACATTGCAAAAGGTTTCGTCCCCGCTCACCTGACTACTGAATTGTCTGACGCGAAGCAAGACGATCACGGCGAATAACCCATTACTCGAAAACCTCGCGCACGTTTCTTCACAAAACGGCGAGCGTATCGCGGGTGGATGTCGATTGGATGCGCAATACGTTTCAAGCACATCTGTTCGGTATCTGCGCAGTCTATTTCAAAGCGTGAAGCGGGGTTGGAGGTTTGCCAAGGTTGTGATGCTTGCGTCCTCGGCTCTTTTCGAAGCATGGCCTACAGTCTTGCGTTTCGATACTTCAACTGGCCTTATCCCCGCTTGGCGTTACTGTTGTAACAACAGCTTGCATCGGTCACGATGGGTCCGTTGAACTGTGGCAAGCTTCCTATCCGACTAGATTCTGGCTAATCCACCATAGCAATGATGAGAGCACCAACCTCCTGGTCGCCCTCATGAGGGGTCCGTCCTTACCGCGCATCGTTAGTGGTCGCAACAGTCGTATTACGACAACCCCTGCCTCTATACTTACTCCCAAGTTGTGTTTCACGTATAGCACCGCAGCTAGACGACGCTTCTCCAATACCACCAAATGGCCGCTCCGTCCTTACTTATGGGTGACAGTAAACATGGGTCCATTGCATGGAATAGCATGCCCACTAGGTATCACCATCACCCAACCGAAATCCGCGCCCCGTGAACGGATTATAGTTTCTTGGGGATGTGCGACTTGCAGGAGGCCTTGAAAGAGATCCAAAGCCGGCAATACCTGTTCTCTCCGGCGGCGCCGACGGCCTTAACAGCGGCATGCGAAGGTCCGAAGAAGCTAAGAGCTGGACAACCTCAACATAGAGTGCCCATGCCCAAAATCCTGCCATGGCATCAAAGAGGACGCTGGTGGTGACGGAAAAGAGCTCAAAGAAGCCCGTGTCTTTTCCTAGCGCGGTGAATAGCTCATCTAGCGAGCCCGAGAGGTTTCGAAATGTGTTGGATACAATGAGGCCCTGGATAAAGTCATGCAGGGGGGACCAGATGGATGCGATGAGCAGCAGCATGTAGAAGGCGTCTATGACGGTCCAAATGAAGCAACCGGCGACGTAGACAGCGAGGTAGGAGCGGCGCGAAGTGACATTTTCCCAGGACGCGAAGATGCCGAGAATGGAGAGAAAGAGCTGTAGCCAACCTAGGCTGCGGCCCTCGAAGAGATGCAAGACGGCGATCAATCTGTAAAGGGAGAGGATGAAGCGGGTGTACGGGAGGAACCGGAGGATGGAGGGTGTGGTCAGTCGGTGAAGTCTACGAAGGAGAATGGAATGGGGGTGGGTTGGGTAGGGGGTGGGCATACGTACAGGCCGAACCAGGCGAAAAGCTGGACGTAGGTTCGTGACTTGAGCTGTGGGGAATCGACGTATGAGCGGGTGATTGGAGGGGAATATGGCTGCATGTTGCGGGCGGGGCTCGGTACCTATGGGGTTTTTTGTTTCCGAGACGGAGTGAATAAGGCGCGTTTCGCGCGGAAGGCGCGTTGCGGTGGGAACGGCGAGCGAAGACGATGATGACGGCGAGGGCCTTCACGACATTTGAGGTTGTCGGTTACGTGGGCTGCAGCGAGTTGTTGAATGAATTTTTCTCCATCAAATGCTATCTCCCTGCGCCCTGCATCGGATCCAGTTCGATTGGCATTACAGACACTGGCTTACAGCGTATAGTCCCAGCATCTGTTTTCCTTTTAAATGGAGACGGTTGCCAAAATAACGCACTTGCAAGTCCGATACGTGTACACAGGTCCCTTTTTGGGGCGAAGCAGTTATTGATACAGAAGCAGTATATCTACACTGTATACTGCTTCTGTATTCGCAACAATACAGTAATCTCTCTTTATAAGAATGAGGACGGGAAAGGACATTATTATTCATGAAGATATTCGTAGTTTATTGGTTCTAGTCGGTCACGAGACATCGGCTAAGAAGGGACACACAAAGGCTACGCAAACCATTAAACCGAACTGGAAAACATAAAGAAAACATAAAGAAAACAGAGAAAAAGACATGATGAGAAAGGAAACTACCAAGAGGGCGGCGCAGCCGGGGCTGGGCGGGCAAGAGAAATAGACATGGCCAGGAGAGGGGGGCTGGCAAGAGGCTCACGATGGCGCCATAAGTACCACGGAGCAGCGAGGCTGCGAGATGAGGTACGCTCGGTTGGCTGATAGTAATTACAGCCACTCGCTATTCTCTGGGGAGTTTCACCCCTATATATATATAACGCTAGCGTGTACAGAGATGCGTAAAGAGAATATTCTTATGGCGGCAGTTATGATGCTTGTCCAGCAAGGTTACTGGCCCCTGAACAGAATCAATTCTCGTCTGCTTCTGCGTTTGCACTTTGGCAGCTGAGAGATCTCTTTTGATGAAGGTAGCGTAGTACAGCCAAATTCGGAACATCCGTCTGACCATTATACCAAGCAGATCTCGGACATCTGTTTGGCCGTTTTAGAGGACCAAAATACGTTCCCTTCTACATACTGTACTCCATGGGATAAAGCGACATTCGAAATGCTATATTCTTATGTCGTATATGAATAAATGTCATGAAAATAGGGTTGTTTTGGCCATTCCCAGGACGGGAAACAGTGTATGTATTCTACTAAAAATAATATTCTTTTGCTGGTCATTCTTTTAAAGAGAGACTACAGTACTGTAGTCATTGAATAAAGCATTTACATCAATAACTGCCAGAAGCAGTATACACTGTATACTGCTTCTGTATCAATAACTGCCAGTTATTGATATATTTAGACTCTAAAGTCCTTTCTTCATGAAGAATCATGAAGTTTCTCAGTTTCTGCATGAAAAAACAACCCGAAATCGCGGTGCGGGTATACAGAAGTAGTATAAACAGAGTGGTGCAGTGTAACAATTGCATCGAAGTACCACACGCCGGATACTCTAAGAAGCACCAGTGCCATAAAGAATGTAAATATTAGGCCTCATCCAGAAGCATAAGACCGCAAAGAAGGACGCAATGAGGACAAAAACGTTGGGAGTAATTTTTGGAGAGACAGCATGAGGTGTGGCGCACTTCAATTGTGCGTGTTGTACCTCTACCGGTAATGTAATGACCCCATCCTGTACAAGCATTGGTATAGACGAATTCAATTACCTGGATAAAGTGCGTCGGAGCGAACAACAGCACCAACAAAAGTATTTGTTCTCGTGCGTTTTTTAGGCGTGGCAAACAGGGAGACGTGTTCGAATGACGTACTGTGAGCAAGCCTTATTGCGCGCACTATCCGGCAAGCCTAATAATACTACACCATCCTGAGTCGGTTGTGTGGTCCTACCTCAACCCTGGCGTTTTCTCTCCCATTGCTGTCCCGTCTGCGGAGATCTCCCCACTCTGCGCCGAAGACCTTCCCCAAACAGCCAGTCAACCCCCCCGCACGCCTGAGAAACAGAGCGCGCCATTCCCTCCGCCATCCCCTGCAGCCCGACGCTTCCGACCAGACTCGCGATGCCGGCGCCCGTGGGCACGCCGGCCGACATCGCCTTCGGCGGCGCCGTCGTGGCCATCGGCGCGGCGGCGCTGCTGCTGTTTGGAAACGGCTTCAACGCCGGGCGCGACGACAACGACCGCGGGGACGGCATGGGGCTGCCCGGCGCGCCCAACGCCCGCCGTGCCAGAGGGAAGGACGGGAAACCCCCCAAGTGGCCGCCGCGGAAGGGGGGCGACGATCAGTGATGCTTTTTGGGCGGTGGCGAGGGCTAGAGGAGGGGGGCTGGGCTGCGCGCTGGAAATTAGAACTGGAACAAGGCTTTGCAGATTCCCTAAATCACTTTGCGCTAGCTAGTAAAGCGCACAAGTTGACTTTGATGAGATGGATTGTATTCGTGCTTCACGCTAGACGTTCAGGTACGGTGTGTGGTAGTAAAGTATGAGAAAGAGGGCTTGCAGATTGAATTTGTTCTTTCGTACGATGCATTGTAATTCTGTCATCAAGGCTGCTTGCAGCCGTCTCAACTACCCTTCAGGTAGACGTATGGAGTCAGTGACGATGCCGCTAGAATGGGGGTGGACTGAAACAAGGTGCTGCTGGGCTCATGTGCGGTTTGTTCTCAACGGCAAGATGCAAATTCACTTCGAGGCGCAGGTGGACCGTACATATAACCTGCGATAGTGCCATGGCAGGTGGGCAGTAACACGGCCCGCGTGCCCGTGGAAGGGAAGGTACTGCGGAAGAAAGGGGTATGCAATTTGGACAGAAACCCGCCGAGTCCCAACTCGCACAATCTCGTTGCAGCTCGCCGAGCTTTCTCGCGATATTTCTCGCGCTAGAGAGATACTTCAGCGGATATATCTTCGCGGCTGCCCGAGATCGTTACGAACGTGCCTCGTGGCTCTGCACCTCCACTCAAAGACGACTTTCTCCAAAGTGCCAATTGCACGGGCGTGGAAGCACGATGCTCCGTGTGTCCTTGCTGTACAGGAATTTTCTCCAAAAAAACACTACTTCCGGTTCAAGCAGAGAAGTGAATTTCTACCCCTATCGAACCACGTGCACACCCTCTATTGGCGCAGAAAAATGTTCGCGCCGCGTGATTGGCGGGCGGACTTGCCCCGCCAAAAGGGGCCGTAAAGACACGTCACCAGTTTCCTCAAACGTCCCTCCGCCCGCAGCAGACAGTCTGTAAAATGTTGCAATCTACAACACCGACCCCCTGCCGCCACGATACACCCCCCTCTCACTCTCATTCTCGTCACTGCTGCCGCGACGGGAGAGTGAGCGTCCACGACGTTTCTTCGCCTTCTTAGTTGACTTTCGCTTTTCTGCTTGAAGATTAGACTGACGTTCCCCCCCCTTCCTCTCTACGTCTGATCACAACGGCCCACCCCCTCCCTGCTCCCGTCTTAGTCACCAGGGCTCCGCTCCGCCATATCTGCTCGCTCGTCAATCGCCGGCCCTGCGCTTCACTTCTTCCGCCGCCCGAACCGCAATCATCACCCCAATTCAATCTTACAGCTTTTCTACTTCACTACTCCCGTGCACACACTCCCGTGCACGCAAACCACTCTCGACGTTTTAGTTCCCACTCGCCTTGCCTTCCTCCCTCTGTACGCCCTGTCCGCCACCGGATCATGAGCGACGCAACAATCACGCCGTCACCGGGCTCCCCGCCACGTGCGGTCCGGCGCACGCGGCACACGGCCTCTCTCAACGCAAACACGCTGTCGTCGTTACGCTCCCCCTCGCTGGCCCCGCACACGCCGCGCCCGCCGCGTTTCTTGCGCTGGTCGCGCTTCCTCTTCTACGCCGTCGCCGCCCCCACCTTCCTCTACTCGCTCTACGTTCAAATGATCGTCCTCAAGGGACCCGGGCGCACGCCACTGCCGGCATCGCTGGGCTTCGGAAGGGACAGTGTGTTTCTCACATTCCACGGCAACTTACATTGCACGTGGTACGCCTGTCTCTGCTTGCTCAATGCCTTTCTCGCCCTGGCAAACCGCCCGCACAAGAGGCGCTCGCGGACCGCCAAGTGGACCGAGCGCACCGTCCATCGGTTCACTTCTGTTGTGTTTCCGCTGGCGTGCTTTGTGGGCTTGGCTTACTATTTGATTATCCACTTCCACCCGCTCAACCGCCTGCGCGCGAAATTTGTGGTCGACCATGACTCGAAAATGGCACTGCTGCATCTCAACCCTGTCCTGTTTGCGCTGTTTGACGCGCTGTTCAAGGATGCGGAGCTGCTCGCTCGGTACGGGATGAAGCAACGCCGCGCAGTGCGCGCGATCATTGGGTATGGGACGGGGTACTTCTCGTGGACTGTGTTTTGCACAAGGCTGAATGGAGGCCACTGGCCGTACCCGTTCCAGTATTCGTTCTCGGCGGTGCAACATGCAGCCTTTTTGCTGGTTGCGCTGCTGGCGGCGGTGTACTTGACTCGGGCCGGGTTCAGATTGCATGGCAGGCTGGACAGGAGGAGGAGAAGGAGAGTTGCGGCAGCGGCGGAGAAGTTTAAGGCCAGAGGTGGGGAGGATATGATGAGGATGCGGAGAAGCGAAAAAGTGAGAGAATAGGCGGTGAGGGTCAAGAGATGCCAAGTTGATTTTTGAGCAATAGTACGCAGAGCGCTCGCGATGCGCTTAGCTTCGACAATGGCAGCTCACGTTCGTATTGGGCAGTGCTCCGGGGATGATCTCCGGGGATGACAGAGCGTGGTTGCAAGGGATGTGAAAATGCGTGTGGCATGCACTCCAGTGTGAAGCACAGGGGGGTGATCGGGGGGGATGGGCGGCTGCGTTTCGGTTTCTGTTGGGAACGTTGGTGTTTCTCGGTAAGCTTGGTAGATTACCTATCCCGGCAAGTAAATATTCGAGCATGTATGCCCGAAGACTGGCGAAAACAAGGATAGTCACTGGGAGTCTTCAAGCAGCGGGTTTCCGTCGACGCAGATCCACGCGGCATCCTCGGAGCGTGCAGATTTAACAGTCATATAGCGGTACTGCAGACTAAAGCCCTGACGCGGAAGTGATGGAGCTGGGCATGCCGTTAGGTCCGTCCGGTGCGAATGAAAACGGGGCTGCTGGGCGCGGCAGTTCCGTCGTGGACCGGGACCCGGCCATCACGGTGACTTTAGCAACAACGAAGCCTTGGGGACTGCGTTGTCCAATGCGCAGCGCTGGAAGTGAAGCTCCAGCTGTTTCGTGCCAACGAGCGGCGGCAGCCGGAAACGGTGTGGGCAGTGTGTCATTGCTGTACGAGGGCGAGGCTGTGGCGACGTGCCTCTGTGCGGTGCCTATTCTGTCGGACATATTCAGGCCCGTGGACACGACGGAGGCTTGTATCGGGGCATTGCAGAAGTTTTTTTTTGTCAACGTGGATGCGGAGGGGCGCCTGTCGGGCCACGGAAACTGATGCGCGGCCCCCTGAAATTGTGCAAAATTCGGTCAGGATTCGCCGAGATTGTGCGCCACGGGCTGGCCTGCAAACGCAAGCAAGTCTGTGGGGCCGCGCGAAGCGGGGCCAAGAGAAGCAAACCCACGTGGGAAGCGAGCCGCCCAACCAGCGGCGCGCACGTCGCCACGGGTCGGTACGGCCCTCAAGAGCAAGCGAAATAACAACATGTGCGGCATTGAGTGTCGGCGAATCATCGCGAAGCTCGTCATCCGCTGAGGCCTGACGCGAGCGCATGCCGATGTCACCCGATGTCACCCGGAGAGATCCCTTCTCAACCTCACTCTCAACCTCACTCCATTGCCCCGACGGGCCGCCCGGGCCGACCGGCCCACGCGCGCAGCACAGAGGCCTGCTGCTGCGGTCCGCTCTGCCGCACTCCACCACGTCGCCATGCTTTTCGCCAGATACCCATTCTCCCAGTGTGAGAGAATACGAGCCTCCTCAGAGGCCTTGCAAGCGTGACCTGCCTGTCATCTCATCTTTGATTTCGGTCCGGATGCAAGCTTTGCTTCAACAATAAGACCGCGTCCTCCATTCCCTGTCCGCTGCTGTCACCGTATCCCTACGGCACCCTTACTGTGCCGCTCCAGTAGCCCTTCGCCCCGTCTCCAACGCTGCACTTGCTGGAGCACAACCACCCTTATAACATGTCTTCAAGAAGAAGAAGGAAGGCGTCAGCAGCGGGGCCTGCCTCGCCGGCCAGCTCCACGCAAACCGCCATCCGAATACACCCATCGCTCGCGCCCGCTGCGTCTGTACCCGTGCGCAAAGATCCACCGGGGGACGAGACACCGCCGCTTCTATCCGAGAGCGACTCCGTTGCCTCGCGCTCCTCGTTAGGGGAGGACCGTCCGCGCCACGAGGACACCGACGATTTGCTCCCCGAAGATGACGAGGGGTCGGTCGAGTACAAGTGGCGTCTCGTCAACCCCACCCGCGACCGCTTCGCTCAGCTAGTCACTCAGCTCAATTTCAGGTTGTCCGAGGGGAATGGCGAGGCCATTTATGAGCTCGGCGTGGAAGACAACGGTCGTAAGAAGGGTTTACCAGCAGACGTCCTTGCTGCCTCCCTCGAGACCTTGAAGCGGATGGCTCATGACCTTGGTGCGGAGACCCAAGTTTTGAGAGAGGCTGATGGAAAAGAGGGTCGCGTCGCTCAAGTGTTGGTAAGGAAAGTCCCAAAAGCCCTCGAGGACTACTTGGACATTCGTGTTGCCGTCGCGGGTAATGTTGACTCGGGTAAGAGTACCCTTGTTGGCGTTTTGACAGGATCCGGTGCACTTGATAATGGCAGGGGCCTCGCTCGCTCCCAGATTTTCACGCACAAGCACGAGCTCGAGACGGGTCGAACGTCGGCTATATCGCAAGCTATTATTGGTTTCGCCGCCACAGGCGAAATTGTCAACTACACAAATGTACGAAACCTAACCTGGTCTGATGTGGTGGAGAAAGCCTCCAAAGTTCTTACGTTCTTTGATTTAGCTGGCCACGAGCGCTATCTCAAGACGACTGTCTTTGGTTTAACTGCTCACGCTCCGGACTTCTGTATGCTGGTTGTTGGCGCCAACATGGGGGTATTGCGCATGACCAAAGAGCATCTCGCAATTACTCTGGCCTTAAAAGTACCTGTTTACATTGTCATTACAAAGATCGACCTTGCTCCAGAACATGTCTACGAACAGACCGTCAACCATCTCCAGAGATTGCTGAAGAGCCCTGGCGCTGGTAAGAAGCTCCCCGTCATGGTCAAGAGCATAGACGAAGTAACCTTGAGTGCTCAGAACATCGTCAATGACCGCATAGTTCCTATTTTCTCCCTCTCCAATGTTACCGGCGAGGGTCTTGACCTTTTGAGAGCATTTCTCAATCTTGTACCATCAAGACGAAACTGGCGCGAACATATGGATAAGCCGGCCGAGTTCGCAATCGATGAGACATTTGTTGTCCCAGGTGTAGGTACAGTGGTTGCAGGAACTACTACGGCCGGTGCTGTTGCTCTTGGTCAAATATTGAACCTTGGGCCCGACGGTAGGGGCAAGTTTGTCAAAGCCCAAGTGAAATCTGTGCACTACAAGAGAACACCGGTGAAGAGAGTAGTTGCGGGGCAGGCTGGTTCGCTTGCGCTGAAAAAGGTCAAGCGCTCGGCGGTGCGAAAGGGTATGGTTCTGCTTGACGCCAGCATTCGTCCGGGTGCAGTCCGCGAGTTCACAGCCGAGGTTCTCGTGCTATACCATGGCACGACAATTCGTGAAGGTTATGAACCCGTGCTGCACTGTGAGACAATCCGTCAAGCGGCCAGAGTCCTTTCCATAGACACTCCCATCATTCGGACAGGTGACCGGGCCACCATCAAGTTCCGCTTCATGTACTACCCCGAATATGTCAAAGCTGGTGCGCGCTTCATTTTCCGGGAGGGAAGAACGAAGGGCCTGGGACGTATCATATCTGTGGAGAGACCAACGATGCACTGAAGATTCCTGAACAAAGCCACAACCTTCTAACTCCTGACAGTAGAGACTGTGTCATTCGCAGTGGGGGCTTGGGATGATTGCAAATGCAGTCAGGTGGCAGCGTCGGCAAAGTGTGGAGCAACGGTGCCGCCGCGCTTGTAATTTCAATTTTGTTTTTTTCGCCTCCTTCTAGCGCTGAAGGTCATGAAGGGGACAAGAAAGCACCTCACGCCCCTTCGCAGCTTGGACAGAAATTCTGCGATACGAGTGAGCGGGTGCTAGATCTGTCTGGCAGAGTTGCCGTCGATAAACATGTCAATTTCTTTTCACTTCGCCTCGAACCATGACTTAGCGCACTTCGCGTCCACCGTTAGATCCACACGTAAAGGAGCACCAACGGGGGTTTTCATCTCCTTCACGATGATGGGCAAAGCGACATCTGCGGATTCATCAGGTCCCTCCAAGATAATCTCATCGTGGACCTGCAAAATAATTTTCCAGCCGAGTCCCCGCAAAACGCGGTTCTTATGCAGCTTGACCATCGCAGCCATCACCAGATCTGCGGCAGAGCCCTGCAGAGGGGCATTAATTGCTGCTCTTTCGGCATGATTTCTCTTGCTGAAGATGTGGTTGTCGACATCTGGAAGGTGCCGTCTTCTTCCCAATATTGTCTCAACGTACTTATTTTCTCTCACGAATGACTTGCAGTCATATTGCCACTGCAAAACCTCTTGTCTTTCCTTATACCAAAGATCAAGCGTGTCTCTCGCTTCCTTAGTACTGACATTCCAATCGCGGGCCAAGCCTTTCACCGTCTTCCCGTATGCTATTGAAAAGTTGAGAGTCTTCGCTTTTCTCCTCTCGGAAGAGAATTTTTCTTTCACTAGTGGAAGTGCATTCGCATCAGCGTCCTTTTCATCACGTTCTAAAAGACATTCTCCCCGTTCGACAGACTTCGCAATCTCATCGAACATTGTCAACGCAGTGCGCGAATGAAAGTCACCACCTGCCTTGAAAGCATCGATCATAGACTGGCAATTCGTAATGTGCGCAAGAAGTCTCAGCTCGAGCTGACCGTAATCCGCTACGATCAAACTGTTTCCCTTCTCAGGGACAAAAGCCTTGCGCACTCTATAGCGATCTTTCTCCAAAGCAGGTTGGTTTTGGAGGTTGGGGCGTCTCGAAGAGAGCCGACCTGTTTCGGTGTTCAGGTTTAAAGACGCATGTATGCGACCATCCGCACCAGGCCAATTTTGGAGAGGCACAATGAAAGAAGATATCAATGTAGATATACGGGTTGAAGAGATCATATCGTCCACAGCCAAGCACATATCCGGATCATCTGGATCGCCGTATATGGGAGGAGTTGCTCTCGGTGATCCGGCGAGTTTCTCCATCGCTGATGCTGAAACGCTTGGCCATCCGCCTGCTGTCTCCGCCGCAAATGGCTTTTCCAACCCTTTCAGCACGACAGTCTTCTTCAGTTTTTTTGTTAGTTGATCCCCCTGCGAAGGCATGCTGTCGCGCTGCTCTCTAATCTCATTCACGTACTTCTCGGGCAAAAATTCCGCAGGTTCCAAGTCGAATGACTTTTCAGCCGGCATTTTCTTCCGCTTATCCTTGCGATTCACGCACGGGGCAAAAAACAGTTGCTGCTTTTGCAGACCAGAATTAATGTTCATGTATCTTGCGTCCGGAGAGTGCTTCTCAGCCCATAACCTGAACTGATCCTCCAATGCAACCCGATCGGCATCCGCCTTCACCTCAGCCCTTTTCAACCAGTCGACGTCAACTCTGAATCCAGTGCGCTCAATGTCCGTGAGGACCTCACCGAACGGCAATAAGAGATCTTGATAAAGCTCGTACAGGTTTGAGAATCGACTTGTCATTTCTGGGGAGCTGTTGTTGCCGTTGATGCCCATTTCCTCCAATTTTGCCTTCAAGGTATAGCATAGACGATGGGTGAGTTCAGCATCGGCGGCGGCATACTCTATCCACTCGTCGCCGTGCTCTACACTTCTCTGCAAATCGATTGTCTCCGGGATGACGATGCGTTTTCCCATGTCACCGTTCTTCAACTTCTCCAAATTACCAAAGCGCTCTTTCATGTTCGTTTTGACAAGACCACGATCAAGATATGTGTAGCAGAGCTCTTGCAGCGAGTACCGCTGCCGGGATGAGTCGAAAAGGCGAGCCATATGCATTGTATCGCCACCAAATCCCCTTGTTACGATGCCATGATTCGCAAGGATGTGCCTGTCGTAAGCGTAATTGTGCCAAACCTTTTTGCAGCGCTCATTTTCAAAGTAGCCCTTGAACACCTCAAGCATCCCGCGCCCTGTTTCTCCATCCAGACAGTCTACATACAATCTCGGACCCGTACCGAAATCGACATTGTGTCCGGCGTAAGCCGTTGCGCAAATGACGTTCCCCTTGCCGACGGGTGACTCCTTCGCCGGATTGACGCCTGTGGTCTCGGTATCCCAGGCCACGAGTGCATCATGTGGCAAGCTGAGTAGGGCTTCGACAGCGCGGGCGGCCGTTCGTCGATCACGCACAACGGTGGTGTTTGGAATACGAGTTTCACGGGGGATAGGCGGTGCGCAGAAGATGGAACGGTCTGGTGATGGGGAGGGTTTGCCGGCTGGAGTCCAAGGTGGTCTCTCTTCGGATGAAGCGGACGAAGCGATCTGTGTGTGCGAGCGTCTAGAAAGCGTGCAGGGAGACAGGCGTAGACGCGAAAGAAGTCCCCACGTCGCCATTCCCATGTGCGACTAAGGCATTTCCTGATGGGAATACCCGCAGAGTTGATTGCGGTAGGGGCGGAAGCGCGTCTGCAACAGGACCCAATTTCGAGGAAAGGAAAAGAGATCTTGAGGAAAATGGAGGTGTTGTTGCCGCGTGAGGCAATTGAAGCACTGTACCCGATGTGTATTGACTGTGTCTTTTAGACACAAAGGCGGCCCACGGAGACGAATTTAACCCCCACCGAAACAAAATAGGGATCAAGAACACCCCCCAAATGTGACACCAATACAGTAGCCCCGTATCACTGACACTTGGACGCTAGTGGTTGGCGGGCGGACCATTCGCGAATACAGTTCTTGAAAAGTTAGCACTCCAGCAATGCACTCCAGAGTCAATGATTTTTGTACGGTAAAGTACGGCATACACGTCATGACGTGGTCGGGAATTTTTCGCGTGTACAGTACCTTTCGAAAGGTACAGTATGTGCAGCGATTGTGGCAGACCGCCCCAGGCCCTGAGAAGACTACGATACGGTACAAGAACCCCTGAATCTTCGGCTCTATTTTCAGACATAAGACGGGGACCAGACACATCTGTGTCCGGTCCTCACGAGATGGTCATGTGCCTGGATTCTACGTCTGTTAACAGAGACGGAGGTGTATTGCAGCAATGGTGAAGTAAGGACTGCGGATAGACGAAGTCGCTCAGCAAGAGGAGCGTGTGTCCTCATCGAACTGCGGTGTACTTTGCTAGGAGGTGAATCGCTCGCGCTGTGCCTTGACCAGTTTTCCCATAGACGTCTCATGACATCGGGCGCAGTTGAACTCTAGTGTCCTGGTTACTGACATTTGCATACTGTATGTTTTTTGCTCGTCTCTCTCGGCTTGTATAAGCTTTTGAGCTGAAGAATGCGAACGCCATCCACTCTTTCGCGAGTGCGGGCTTACAACAATACCCTTCGAAGGTACTGTAGGCAGTTTGCCATAGCTCCAAAGTCGCAAAAAAGTCAGGTGCTGTGATCAGTCTTCAATATTTTGCCACCTTTTTTCACTCTATGTATCAACTCGTACATTTTTTGGCCGAAGACAAGACTCTAGCGCGGTGGGCAAAGTCGGGATGAAGAAAATGGATCACAACCCATATTGAAAAATGTAGCACTGAAGTGCATAACTTATCTGATCACTAGACACAGGCATCATCTGTCATGATAGCCAACGACTAGAGATCATGGAGGATAAATCCTTGCCCTCTTTTCCTGAATGAGAGAATTCTTTTTTCTCAATCGCAGCCATAGAGGCTCCCTCTTCGACCTCCACGTCGAACATAACATCGAGTTCAAAGTCTAGCGGCTCTCTCAACACTCTTTCGACAACTGGTTTCGCGACGTCGACAGCGTATTGTGGACCTTCCAGTACAACGTAATTTTCATGGACAAAAACCACGCTCCAGCCCAGATTCGTGAGCGCCTCTTCTTCAGCAAAATTGACAAGAGCACCCATCATAGCTTCTCCGCAAGAACCATTCACCGCGAAACCAATCGCTGCTGCACATGCAGCATCACGCGCCGCCCAAGTAGTACTGGTGACATTACGCGTGTTTCGTCTACGACCTGAAATAGTTTCTATGAACCCCTCGTGCTTGGCGCATTCCAGGCTCCGTTCCCTCCACGCTTTGACACCAGGGTGGGCAGCATACCAGCGAGTCATTAATCTTTGAGCTTCGCGAGATTTGATGCCCAGCAGTCTCGTCACTTCCCGCCTAGACCCCCCTCGCGTCATTCCGATATCCAAAAGCATGCTCTGTGAGTATTCTGCAGGAAAAGCTTCCCCAATTGTCGGCACTGCCACACCCAAATGATTTCGTCGTCGCCTTCCCTCGTACGCACAGCGGCCGTCGTGAATGGCTTCCTTAACATTCTGGTACAACTCCACCATGGACAGCTCATGTCTGTTGTGCCCATGTTCCAGTCGCGCACGCAATGATTCGCAGCCAGATAGATGTCCAAGCATTGACAGCTCCATATCTTTCAGCTTCCCCACAAGCAAAGTATTCTCATCTCCCGCAACAATCGCTTTCTGAACGCTGTCTAGTTCTTGTTCTCCGAGTGCAGCTTGTAGCCGACCTTTCTTTGGGTCCATTCTGTAGGTCACTCGCAATCGGTTGTCATCATCGACTGCGCCTTCTGCAGGGCGTGCTAAATCAGAACTGGTTCCACCCTTCATGGACTTCGAAACCAAAAGATCGTCAACGGCGTAGCAAAAGGCATGGTCTTTTTGCCCAAACGTAGCTTTCTCAGCCCGTGGAAAACCAGCGGCCTTCCGCAGTGCAGTTACTGAAACGGAAGGCCATCCTTTCTTGGTGTGGACCTTTGCTTCGGCCCCTCTTCCGCGAAGAGCAAATTTCTTCTCTCGGGCAATCAACGGCACGTTCAGCGTGTTTCCGTTATCTCTGTCTGTAGCGCTTGCATTGCGCTTCGAAGCAAAACTCGATTCTTCCGGCAGACTATCAGTCTTCACATGGATATTTGTGCATGGAGCAAATAACAATTGACGTAGCTGCTTCGCACATCTAATGTCCATTGCTGCCGCGTCGGGCGAAAATTCACACGCCCACTTCACAAATCTTTCCTCAAGGACATGTTTTTCATCTTGAATGGCACTTTCTCTCGCTTTGAGCATATCTTTGCTCACTCGGAGGCCGTGATGATGCATTTCATAGAGGCCTTTCATTAAGGGAACATGGAAATACTGATAAACTTCTAGCAGGTCTCCAAATTCCCCTTGAAAGTCAGCCGTGCAGTTCATCCCATTGATGGTCATCTCTTGTAACCTTTCGCGTAGTTTGGCAAAGACAGCATGTGTCAAAGCGGCATCCCCGCAGCTTCTCGCAATGGATTGCGCCTCAGAACGGCTTCCATTCCCTGTCATGAACGCCGACTTCGGATTCAACATGTTTTTCGCCATGCTTATCTCCTTCGCTGTCAGAAAAGTGTGTGTGATGTCATCTTGAGTATAACCCTTGACGTTTTCAGACGTTAAACTGGCCATAGACACCAAATCTGCCGCAAAACCAGCAGGACGGATTCCTCGGGACGCAAAAAGTCGCTCAACTGAAACATAGTCAAACCAGACCTTCGTACAGTAGTCATCCTCAAAATAGTTTTTCAAAACTTTCCACACCTTTTGCTCCTCTGAGGGCATCATTGCCCGAATAAAAAGATGTGGCCCATTTCCAAAGTCAACACCATTCCCAGAAAAAGCGCTTAATGATAGACAATTGTTGGTCCCGCTGCCACTGGCACCCGGAGCAAAGTTGAAACTCCAGGCGGTGTGCGTTTGCGGTCCGAGTTTGATCAGTTTAGTCAAGGCATCCACAGCATCATGCCGGTCACTCACAATAGTTACATTTCTGAGGGTAATTTCTTCTGCAGAGATAGACAGGCTCAATCCTGGCGATGCGGCGCTGAAGGATCTCCCTATCTTTCGATAATGTAGACCTCCAAGGCGAGCTGCTGGCGAACTGAACGTCCTGGAGAAGCGACATGGCCCCAGTACCCCAATCGAAAGCATTGCATCATTGAGAAAGCCCCTCACCGATCCGAAGTGTGAATTTTAAATGGCTAGGTACGAGGCGAAGGCAGGCCAATTGTCCTTTTGAAGACCTCAAGAAGTGCCGTCAAGATCACGCGCAACCTCGATGAAGGAGCAGGCAATACACGTGTTGAAAACTATACACGAAACGGATTTTGACAGGGCAGATCGTTAAATATTTAATATTCAAAACAGTGTGGGGAAAGAAGCAAACAGAAAAGACGCAATCCACACATTAGTCTTGAATCACCATAGTGAGCAATGCACATGGCGTGATAATCGAGTCCTGACATCCGAACATTGAAGAGCAGCACCAAACTCGCCTCCAATGGCTTCGAGATCAGTGCTCGCCCGTGTTGCGCGCAAAGCGCTGGTCTCAACGGCCGCCCCGACCGGGGAGGGGTACTCGATCCGTGCTGTTGGTGCGTTGACATCCAAGCCATACGCCTTCAAGACTCGCAGCTGGGAACTCAAGTCGACCGAGTCCATCGACATTTTCGATGGCGTTGGATCAAACATTCGGATTGATACAAGGGGTTCGGAGATCATGCGAGTTCTACCCCGCCTCAACGAGCACGTCAATGAAGAGTGGATTTCCGACAAGTCGAGGTTTTCTTACGACGGTTTGAAGAGGCAGCGCTTGAGCACGCCCATGGTCCGTAACGTCGACGGCAATCTCCTTCCCGTGCAGTGGGATCGCGCGCGCGCCGTCCTAAAGAATGCCTTGATCACTCTTCAGCTGGAGAATCCAGGCGGTTTCGAGTGTCACGGGGTTATCGGTCCGTATGTTGATGTCAATGCCGCCCTAGAGTTTCGCAACCAGTTCCTGCGTTGGTTCCCGACCGGCCAAATGCACGTTCAGGAGAAGGCGAGGAACATCCCTACGGATTTCAGACACTCATACATGCACAACTTAACCCTCCCTCAGCTTGAGGAGGCAGACTTTGTTCTTCTCGTTGGGGCTGATCCGAGGAAAGAAGCTCCTCTGCTTAACGCTAGGCTGAGGAAGGGTTCTTTGTACCACGGGGTTACTGTCGCCACCGTTGGAAGCCCCGTGTCCTTGACGTATCCATCGAAACATCTCGGCAATACGCTCAAGACGCTTCAGGCGATAGCAGATGGATCTCATCCCATTGCGGCAACGCTCACGGAGGCCGAGAGGCCTGTCATAATGGTCAGCAACAGGGCGCTGCAACGTGAGGATGGTAATGCCGTATACAAGCTAGTGGAAGACGTCGTGCGCAAGTCCAAAGCAGTTCAAGAGGGTTGGGATGGTCTATGTGTCTTGCATCAGGGTGCGAACACAGTTGGCAATCTTGATATTGGTTTCGAAGACAAGTACGCTGGCCTGCGGGCACTGGACGCCGGCTCATGGTCCGCAACTAAAGTCCTTTTCCTAATGGGGGCGGACGACATTGACAATATCGACGTTCCAGAGGACTGCTTCGTTGTGTATCAAGGTCATCATGGTGATCGTGGAGCATCGATTGCGAACGTTGTGCTTCCCGGCGCAGCATACACGGAGAAGGACTCAATCTACGTGAACACCGAAGGGCGCGTGCAGGCTTCGAAGCTCGCATTCTTCCCCCCAGGTTTGGCTCGTGACGATGCGCATGTGCTGCGCGATCTGCTGGGAGCAGATGAGGATTTGGAGCATGTGACGGAACAGCTCAAGTCTGCTTCGCTGGACATTCTGGCACCTCATTTGTTGAAGACGAACTACGTGCAGGAAGGAGATCGAGTTCTCGGAACGGATACGATACTGCCTCCTGGACGCACTCCGTTCTTGCCGACGCCATTACAATCGCCTGTGGACAACTTCTACATGACCGACCCGATCACAAGAAGTTCAAAGACAATGGCAAAATGCACTCGTGTGCGCAATACCCACAATTTCTCGCAGTAGCTTTTTTATAGATGTTTATGGAGGGTTTCGAGTAACTGGAGGGACTTTGAACACATCTTAGCCTATATATAGGCAGTTGAAATCAGTAGGGCAAATGGAGTCACCAGTGTCCAACGTTTCACAAACAAACAAACAAATATCGAGACCTGATGAGCTCACAATCCTTCTTCTCACGATTTAGGGCCATGCTATGGACGTCGCGGTTGACAGCAACTTGCTGCCGATCTGTGTCTTGCAGGAAGCAGGCTGAGTGTGTTTCTAGTATCAAGACGACCTGTATCCCAAAGACTGAAAGAGTAGTCTGTGTCGACCTGAGTCAAAGCGAGATACAGATCTCCAGTCGCTTAAAGGGTGGACATGTGGTTCCACATGACTATCGCCATACATGAAAAACCGATGCAAATAAACGAGTGGCTTGAAAGGACAGAAGAATCGCATCGGAGGCGGTTCAACAAGGCCCAAAAATAATTCTTGCTCCTGGGTGTGGTCAGGCAACTAACCCTGAGATATACGGCGGCGCATTATCCAACAGTTCCTCCAATCAAGAAGCTCCATTTCCTACGCCACAAAAATGACTACCAGGATAACCATACGCGCTTCGTCACCGTCCACGGCCAGGACAACCCCCCTCCTCCCCCCCATAGACGCCGCATCCCCTCACCAACATCCTTCAATGGAACTTCCTTCGAAGTTCACCAGCGGGGATTGCACATCCTTCCCCGAGACCGCCACAAGTTCAGGAATGCTCGGGTTTGCGCTGCCAGTCACCCTTACCCGCAGCTCTTTTGCTCACCGCTCCGGAAAGTGTCGACAACGGGGCGTGCGAACCGCGCGGCCGCGCACTCGAATCCGCTGCGTCGCCGAACCGCCTGCGGAGCCGCCTACAAGCCCCGATGCTATCCGCGCCCTCATAACCTCCGAGGGAAAGGCGGACCAGCAGAGAGGCCTCCTTCTCGTGCGGAAGCTGCCTCCCGCCGTCGCCCTCGAGCTCCTGCTTCTGTCCATCCAGACGAGCACAAATGAGTTCATTCGCTCCACCGCGGCTATCACCATCGGCCAGCTCCAATTTCCGGACCCCGCCACGGCTTCGGCAGCCGTGGACGCCTTGGTCTCGTTACTGGCGACGGACACGGACTACTCAGTGCGTTCGGCGGCCGCCGCGGGAATGGGATATGTTGTGGGCTTGCCAGATGACGCGCTCGCTGCTCTCCATGAGGCTTTGGCCCGTGCGTTGATAGAGGATTCGGAGTGGCAAGTTCAGTTGAGTTGTTTGGCATCTTTGGGGCATTTGAAGGATGAGAGGGCCGTGCCAATTCTTTTGCGTTGGATGGATTCGGATAACGATCTTTTAGTGCAGGCTTCAATTGGCGCAATGGGAGATATTGGCGACCTGGGAGTTGTGCCAGACTTGCTGAAAGTGCTAGGAAGCAAAGACATGATGACTCGCCAGCGACTCGCGCATTCCCTTGGGCAGATGAAGGACGCCAGGCATGAGCCTTCTGTGATCGATGCACTCCGCATTCTCAGCAAAGATCAGTCCTTTGCTGTCCGAGATGCTGCAAAGGAGGCTTTGACCGACTTCGGATGTATGGAAGCCGCAAAGCCTGATTCGATGTCTGATGACGAAAGGCTAGACCTCGAGGTCGCCAACTTGCTTGAAGGGGACGAGGGTCGGAATGTTGGTGCTAGCGCCAGTGAGGCGATGCGTCGGCGCTTGGAACGATCTTTTGACAAAGAGTATGTCGAAGACCCTGATGCATTCAGCTCTGTTGCGAAGCGGTCAAACACATCTCAGGATGAGTCGGAGGACGATGATAGAGAACAGAATATTGTCGACCCAGAAGTTGCCAAGCAGTCGGACGCTGAATTTGAGGACCTCATGAATGACTTGAAACATGGTGAACATCTCGATCAAACAATGGCTGGTATTCGATTAAGGAAGTTTGATGGAAAGCGGGTTTCGAAAGCGGTGCTCGAAGCAGGGGTACTGGACGCCTCTCGTTTCTCTGAAAGAGTACGGTCCCTTTGTGTTACCCTGCTTGCGCGTGGGGGAGAGCTTTGGGAGGTCATTAGTGTGCTTATGGGAGACCCAGATCAGAATGTTCGCAGTGCATGTTGCGACGCAATAGCTGAGATTGGCGGGGGTTCTGTAGGTGTTGAAGCATGCCTGAAGGCGTTCAAAACTGATAAGCACTGGTTGGTGAGAGTCAGTGCGGCAATTGCTCTAGGAAGTATCGGGAAGGGGTTTCCGAATGCGGAGCAAGAGTTGATGGATTCATTACTTCCTGGTGGTGTCGAAGGTTTAGAAAGCCCGCAAGACTCCGTGGTGAGAAGGCATGCGGTGACGGCTTTGGGATTTCTAGGATCGGAAAAATGTTTACCAGTCATAAGAGCACTTCTCAACGGTGAGGACAGTGATACGGCGATAAGATATCGAATTGCGGGGGCGTTGAGGGGAATTCACTGCAAGGAAAGCGCAGCTCTCGTGCGAACATTAGTTCACGATGGTGACAATGAGGTGTCAGGGATGGCCCAAGGAACTCTGGACGCATTGGCGCAGTACGGCTTTAGTTAGGAGATGTAGACTGCAATTTGTGTATAAATTTCAAGGGGGCATTGCAACTGGGAAAGATGTGTCGAAGTTGTCGAGCTCGCATGCCGGCCTCGGCCGTGTGAGCAGCGAAAGTCAACGTCAAGTGGGCAAGCGTGGATGGTGCTCAAAATTGAAGTGAGTGGGAAAATCCCTTTTGTGACTATACACGCTCGGTGATCATGATTGCGGCTCGGCACCCTGCTTTGATGACGGTGCTCATGGCCTTGTACATAGGTGCAGACTCCGCGTCATGCTCAATGCCGGTGTGCTTGTGCTCAAGTTCGTCGTCTCGAAACTCTCTGAAAGTAGCCCTCAGCTCGTCTTCATCCTCCCAGTGCAGTAAGGTGCGTACTTGGTCATTGTAGTGTTCCGCAATGACCTCTTCCACAGCTACAGTACAAGCCATGGCGGCCTCCTTGCCAATGAGAGCCGTACCCAAGCCAAGTGCGTACCCTGCGGCATTCCAAACGGGCAGCATCGCAGTAGGTCGGACGCGTCGCTCTACGACAAGCTGATCAAACGCATCCAGGTGCTTCTTTTCTTGGTCGGCCATTTCCTGGATGACCTTTCCAATGGGCGTGCGCCCGAATACTGCCAGCTGTCCAGCATATATCTGTCGAGCGCCGAGTTCGCCAGCGTGATCTACTCTCAACATGCGGTCGATTATTCTCTTTTTCTCCGGGTCTGCTAAGAGTGGGGAAGAAACTCTTTCCTTGCGGACATTACTCTGTTTCGGGTGTTGTTCGGAGTTGCTTTCCTTCGAAGAATCATTTGTGGAAAGTGACCTTTTGTAGACGCATGATGTGCCCCTGGCGTTTCGATAGGAGCAGTATCGAATGCGACCTCCCAGCCTTGTTGACAAAGCGGCGTTAAATGACATTGAAAGACAGAGGTTAGTCCAACAGCAAAGCAGCAGAAGTTGTATTTTCTGTCGCGAGAGATGTGCCAAGCGCCAAAGTCTAGCAGCAACACATCGGATGAATCGATGCCGTTTGTTTGAGGATGCCGAGTGCTCCCTGTTCACGAGAAGGCGCGCTGCACGATCTGCGTCGAGATAAGCTGCATCAAAGAAGTCGAAGACGATGACGAACGAGCGAACAACGACCGCACAGGTATGAAAGCACGTTAGTTATGGACCCTTTTTAAATTAGGGTCGTTCCAACACACAAAGTTTAGGTAGTATGGTACGGTATGGATATGTCCTGCTGGACCTTTGAAGGTGCACCTTGTGTTACCAAGGGTACTGTACGTTAGGTATGAAAGTAACTTTATGTGTAATGTTACAGAGTAATCGACACGTGTCGGATGGATTTTCCGCTCACAAGAGAACAAATTGGAGGAGAGACTCGGACGAATCAGCCAACCATCTTGCATTGTTCTCTGACAGTTACTTTAACTGTTTCAGAATTACAGTAGCTTACGCTACTGTAATTCTGAAAATTGCTCACACCATCGAATACGCGAGTACAAGACTCCCCCCCCCTCCCCCCCCTTACCTGATCCGCATCGACTCCTCGTTTCCATTTGCACTCGCCAGCTACAAGTACTTCCCGCACCCTCCCTACCCCGTCCCCGCTGTCGCCCGCTCTCTGTACGCTCCGCCACACTTGACGTCATTCCCCGCGGTCCTCACGGCACCCCTGAGCCGTCGCACCACGCGCTCTATGCCGCTCCACGCGCGTGCGCATGGACGTCACGTATGGCGAAACCCAGCGCATCTGGGAGTTGTCAGACTCAACCGATTCGGACCTCGACAACCCACATCCCTTGGTCCCTGAGGCCTCCGTCCGAACCCTCAGCCCCCAAGATGAACCCTCGCAGTCTCCTGGCACGTCAGCCGCTTCGCACCCAGGCCTCTCGCTTGATGCCCTTAGTATAGGCACCTCCTCGGCCCAGACACCGGATTCCGCTCCGGAGAGCGAGACGGACTCCGCTTCTTGTGGAAGCTCGTCGGGTGGCATTTTTGCCACGTTCACGAGAGAAGAGGACGAATGTGATCACCAGCAGTATCATGAAGAAGACTGTCCAGAAAACGCGAGAAGGCAAACCCACCCTTCCGCTTCGTGCGGCGATCTACCGTCTTCAGATTCTGCCTCCTCACCCAGAACGAGGAACTCCTCCTCCTCGCAAGCCATGCTCAAGTCTCTGCGGAACAGCTGGAAGAAGGTGAAGAAGACGGGCGTCAAATCCACCACGTCGGCCACCAAGTCGCTGTCCACCTTGTCTTCCACCTACTTCAATGCCACGCGCTCCGACGCCGCCACGCGCGAAACCTGGGAGGAACGCCACTCACGTATGGGAGACGAATGGCTCACCTCCATCATCCCCAACTGGTCAAAGAAGAAGAAGACGGCTCGCGTCCGCACCTTAGTCTTTCGCGGTATTCCGGCAAACGTTCGCGGCCGCGCTTGGCAATGCGCCATTGGAAACCCACTTAATGTATCAGAGCAGTTGTTCGAGGTTCTCAAGGAACGTGCGTATTCGGGACGGATGGAGTACATTCGCGGTCGCGAAACTGTAGCCATGGCCGACGGCGACGTGGGCGGTGATGGCGGGAAGGCGGAGACTTTGTTGGAGAGTGAGCGGAGCGCACACAAGGCTATTATGCTAGACTTACCAAGGACATTTCCTGAGCTTACCTTTTTTCACGCAGAGGGCAGTCACTACGAGTACGCCTTACGAGACGTTCTCGAAGCGTTCCTGTATCTCAAACCGGATGTTGGATACAGTCAAGGCATGTCCTTTCTTGCCGCAGTCCTACTGTTGTACATGGACCCCTACGAGGCTTTTTGCAGCTTTGCTAACATGCTGTTACACAAGAGCTGCTTCTTGCATTTCTTCAGAATCAAGATGCCAGAAGTGCGCTTTTATCTAACTGTTCACGATCGACTTTTGAGTGAGGAAATGCCTGCTCTCCACGCTCACTTCAAACAACATGGAATCGATTCAGATCTCTATATGATCAACTGGGTGATGTCACTTTACTGCCGAGCTCTCCCGCTCGACCTTGTCACAAGGATATGGGATGTCTACGTTCTTGACGGAGATGTGGCCATTTTTCGTGCTGCTCTCGGCATCTTGCGCTTCTTTATGCCCCGTCTTATGAAGATGAAATTTGAGGACATGGCTTACTTCTTGAGCCACATTCCGGCAGAAGACCTTCCGGCGGATGAGTTGCTTCAGTCAGTACGTGCGGTAAGAGTCGTTACTAAAAAGCGGTTCCGGGATCTGTTCAAGGAGTGTGGATCGGTGTACAACAAGGCATCTGAGAAGTAGGACATCGAAATGCTTTACATAGCGGTGGGAGCGATACAGCGAGTCACCATGGTCCCTAGTGTATTGGATAGGTCAGTTTTCGTTGTTTGTTTTCACTTTGTAGACTAGAGTTGACTGATTGAACAAGAAAATTTTGGTTTGTGTCACGTCTAAGAGTGGCAAACAAATTTCGTTTTTCCATGTCGGTATCAATCATCCCAGATCTTGACAAAGTCCTCCCCTTGCCAATTTCGCCCGGCCCTATACATACCAACCGTATTGAAGTCCATGACGATCTCACCAGAAGGAGTAACGGCAACAAAACCACCGGTAGACTCTGGGAATGTTTTGTGGACAACTTCGTACATAGCGTCCTTCACAGACATACCGCCGTATTCGACGGCAAAGCACACTCGACTTGCCGCGCTGAACCGAATGAACTGTTCACCCCATCCAGTTCCACTAATACCACAGGACTTGTTCGACGCGTACGAACCAGCACCCACAACTGGCGTGTCCCCAATTCTCCCTTCCCATTTGTTTGTTACACCGCCCGTCGACGTCACACAAGCCACGTTCCCAGCACCGTCACAGATTGTAGCTCCCACGGTCTCCCCTTCCCCATTATTTTTGGCCTGCACTTCATCTTGCTCCGGAACTTCCGAGTTTGTCAGCATTCCTTCGCCTGTATGATCCAGTTCTGCTGCCTTCCGTGATTGAGCTTTAAGCAATGTCGCCTTTCGTCGATCAGTTACAAACCAACCCGGCTCTCTCTTCTCTATGAGTCCTTGGAACTTATCCGCGAATCGCTCGGCAGCCTGAAACCCGAGAAACTGGAAATCAGCCATCGTGTAAATAAGAGCAGCCAGACGCGCGGGATGCACAATCGTGCGAACTACGGACACCAAACGATAAAGGGATTTGACATGTTCAACTTGTTAGTGCAAGCTAGCGACTAATGGACGCGCAAATAGGTTTCCAATCAAGCGTTCGACTGCTTGCGTTTCTCACGTACGCCCACACGTCGCCCCAGATTTCATCGTAGCGCCATCCATGACCAATGCTTCATTCTCAACAAAGGCCCGGTCATTGAGCACCGCGCCTCTACCTGCAGCGCATAGTGAGGTACAATACGGATCCTTGGTTAGATTGTACTTAGTCGCCTGTTCTACATTTGTGGGAAGCAAGGATTTCTTTCTTGTAACCCACCTGCGTTGAATAATGGGCATGTTTCAAGTGATTCGACTGCAGCCAAGGCTGCCGCAACAGCAGTTGGTGGAAAAACAGCTTCAACTTCATCCCATGGAAGGGCGTTATCCGTATTCCGCCCCGCTTCTAAGACAGCATGGGCCTCATCCAGAGCAGTCTTCAGAGCTTGTTCGTACGGCTGAGGGGCGGTTTCACGCGAAATCAATCCCGCCCCACCGTGAATCGCTATGGCCCAATGACCGGTATTGGACATTGCACTTTCTAGCTCCTCGTCCGTAGTGCCAAACCTATTGCTTCGTAACAGAATTCTCCCCGCACTTATTTGTACGTTGCTACATACTGTACCACTGTACAGATTATTTGCTGCACTATTTCGGCAGTTTAAAGGCGCGCGATTGAGGTTTCAATTGGATGCACATGAAGAGAGCGCAAAAATCGGGAAGAATAATCATTCTAGGCAACAATTCAAATCCATCTACTTCTGACAAAGGGCTTGCGGCTACGTATTATTGTTCTGAATGATGTAGAAACTCCGCACAACACATAGATTCTTCCATGCACCTGACGCTCCGATAAAGATATGGGTCGAAGCCATCAGCAACATGACACCACACTGCGCTGTCTTGACGTGCCGCAAGATAAGTTACTTTATCTTTCGTACTATACAAAACGCTCCAGGCAGTCTCCGCTTATAGACCGCAACCTCGCAACTACCTGACTGCTCGTTTTATCATATTTGTTTGCTTTTTGAACCACAGGCACAGATCTTGTTCATCACCTATTTTCGACTTTGGAAATCTGGGGGCCGCTCCCCTGCCTATCTTGGATTAAACGTTTAAACTCCTACACATGCACCAGCGCTTTGGGTGACGCCTGTTGCATAGAAGAGTAGTGCCCGTGCATAGCCGTAGTTTTGATATGTAGCGCGACTTTATGTGCGAGCCCCTGGTTCTAGCTTGAAGGACTTTTTCGTTAAGAGAAACAAAACGAGCTTCATTCGATAGGCTTTGGCTGGGCAGTCGGACAAGTTTGTAACGTCGATAACGTCGAATGCCCGACACCAAAATCGAATCGTTCTCCTGTCGGAAATATATCTGCAATGAGGATGCATTGCCTTCAAAACTTCTCGAATTCCATCGAGGTATTTTGCCGGATGCTGCCTTTTCACCAAGATTTCAAATACCTCGTTTCCGTAGTGAGGTGCCTGAGAGCAAACTTCGAGGTCTTCTGGAACAGCTCCCCATGCACATCGGAACATAAGAACAGAATTTTCACAGATAGACTCGTCCGTACCGTCCCTGCTGCTGTTCTCTCCTTCGAAGTTCTCTTCTGACAGGGCGATAGTGTTCTGGCCACAGAACTGGTGGCGACATAGAAACAATTCGTTCACTTCTGCGAGTGTCATGGCACCGCAAAGCATTGATCTGAAATACTTTTGAGCTAATGTCCCACGCCATGTAGCTTTCAGTGCGTCAAGCACATTTAGAACAAGCACATCCTTAGTGCCCGACGAAACCCTAGAGCTTCCGATGCTATCAGAAGAAAAGTGGAGAGAGAGACTCTCTCGATCTGATGGGCAAACGAGTTTGGCACATTGTTGGATGGCACTGTTCACAAGTTAAATATGTATAGCAGTTGGTCAGCCAGGGCTGACAATGAAGCTTTGATCACTCCGTACCTTGACCAACTCATAATCCAGGCAGAGGAAAAGCGCAAGCTGGGTCAGCATGGTGTGAGATTCGCTCAATGCAGAACCCTAGACAAGCAGACGGCCGCTGTTCGATCGAGGACAGTCATTTAGTAGGGAAGCCACTGGACACCAGGAACATTGATTGCATGAAAGCTGGTGTTTTCAAAAGAGGATCATGAGAACCGGGTGGAGCTATGTTCGCCGCTAGGCTCAAAATGATCAAGAGTTGAAGACGATGGATGATCCCGTGGCATGGAGAGCGCTGACGGGGCTGTATGTTGGGAGAAGAAGGGAATGACCGACGTCTCTTGTTGGAGGCGGGAAAACGGGCATAGCAACGAGCGAGAGTTGCTGTCCAAAAGAGAGCTTGGCAGACCGTTGCTCTGGTACTGAAATCGCTCCATGCACGAATAAATGGAAAGAGGATCTCATGGACAGCCGGTTATTGCAGAGCAGAGAATAATTTTCACTCTAAAAAGCAGACAGAGGCGGCCTCGAAGGGTTTTTTGAAAGGTGCTTCAAATTGAAATGAAGAAGATGAGGGCTTTAAATCTGCTCGGTAGGATACTGGGGGGGACAAATTTGCAAGAAAAAACGCGCAGAAGATCAATTCAAAGAGTATCGGGATGAAACAGGGGGCCGTGCATGGAAATTTTGACAGGTCGAGCGAATTACGGAGACATAGCCTCGTCCAGGGTTTTATTTTGCATGGTAGAGTGAGAGGGCGATCCCTCTGCTGAAAGGGCGACAGAAAGTGACAATACCTTGAAGCGAGAAAAAAAAAGAAGCGAAACCCATGATGGAAGCAGTTTGAGAACGACTACGCGCTTTTCTCCAAGGACACTTTCACGAATGGGACGAAGCAAGGTAGCAGGTGTGGGATAAAATTGATCGGGGACGATGATGAGGTGTCGCGGCGACAAAGAAGCAGTGGTTCATGATCTGCAGTTTAGGGGTTTGCGCTCGCAAGACGTACAGTACAGTATGCAAAGATGCTCATGGATGTGTTCTTTTTTTTTTGAGATAGCCGGCATTAATGAGAGGATGGCATTAGTAAATGTGGCACTAATGGGAGTCCCCCCCCCCCCCCCCCCTGCATGGCGCTTCGAATGGCGCCTGTTTTGGCGACAACACCCTTAAACAAGTACTTTCTCCATTTAAAAAAAGAAAATGCGCTCCAAATTACCCTGATGGGCAGGGGTACCCTTAGTAGTGCACGTTCCGTTCTCCATCAGGTGTGGTGTTTTGCAGTCCCTGTAATCAGACTGCTCACTGCTCATGGCTCACTGCTCATGGCTCACGGCTCACTGCTCACTTCGCACCGCCCACTGATTCACCTTCGCCCTCACCACCATGGACACTGCGGCGCCCAACCCTGAGGAGAGGTTCCGCCATTTGTTTACTCAACTCGATCAGCAGTCCGTGTGGCAAGCCCTTCTCCCATCAAAGCATCTCGCCACCGTCCGCGTTGCGGCGGCAGACCCCGCGTCTTGGCGCGTCTTCCTCGCGGGAAACCCGCCCAATCCGCAGGAGGCCAAAGCGAAAGCTGCGCCAGAGAATGCACCTACATCCTCTCCAAAGACAGAACCCAAAGAGAGTGAAGACCAGGAAGAGCCAGCCCAAAATGGCGTTGAAAATGACAGCGCTGGCAAACCGGCAGCCCTGACCGCAAGCGCAGACGCTGAGCCACAGGACGTTGAAATGCAACCGAACGGCACAGCGTCACCCGCTCCGTCATCATTGCCAATCCCCGCCAAGTTGAAGCCTATCCCAGCCAAATCCCCCTCTCGTCGCACCCCACTCAGCAGCCCGCGATCGCGCCGCGACCATCCTTTCAAGTTTGGCCGTTTCGACGGCGACGATGTCGCGATTCTCAGCGCCATCGTTCGTCGCAGACTCGCTGTCGCATCTGTCGACCACCAGATGTTTTATAACGTGCCTGGCGCCCTTCCTCTGGATGACGCCCGTTACGAGATTGACGTGGGCATGCTTGAGGGAGATGACGCCGGCTACGCATCATTTGAACAACTTGAGCGAGAGGAAGAGGCTTCCAAGACTTGCCACACGGGGCCGTACGTGCTGCTTGGCTGTGATGAGGACACGGATGGAACCTCTTCCGACTTGTTGTCATCGGATGAACGAAGCAGCCCGGGTCTTCAATCGAAAGAGCGTCACATCAGGTCGACATCAACCCTAAAGCGCCCCCGTCGTACTACCGCCGCGTTTGGACTGTCCGATAAGATGGAGCGTTTTATCCGCGAGCTGCGCGTGCTATGTGAACCGCATCGGGACGCCGCTCAAGTAGAGAGCGCTCAGAAGAGAGACGTCCCGAAGAACATTCATCGCAAAGCTGTGTCCGCCGCAAGTGTGGTTGAAGAACTGAAAGAAATGGAGTACAAAGCCCATATTGGCAAGTATGAGAGAGTCGAGGAGTGCATATCTGCAGTATCGGCATGTATCGGCAACCAAGATAAGACCTTTGCAGAAGTGCTTACCCAGATTAAGGATCGCGCCAATGACCTTCGCGACGAATATCGCATCCGAAAGGAACGCCACTTAGCTTTAATGAAAGTCAAGACGTTAACAACGGGAGTGCTTGGTTCAGATGTGGAATGGCTTGAGTCCACCGATGATGACGATATGGATGAGGACATGCCAGAGCTTGACGCCGGTCGTCAAACTGACGAATGGAATGCGTCCCAGCCTGCTCCCTCAATTCCGTTTGCTGAATCAGATCTTGAATGCTGGCCCAGCAACGATGATGCGTCGATTCTTGATGTCAGTCCAGAGCGTCCCCGTCTACCAATTTTTGAGAGCAACCCCGACCAGAGCACACCGAGCGATAGTAAGAAAAGAAGCGACATCCAGAAAGGCCCGGACAGCATTATAAGCATTCTTGGGACAGATAATCACATCATGAAGAGCATCTTTTCCTTGCATCGTGTACGGAAACTACGAGAACAGATCGCTGTGAACTGGGCGTTGCTCAACAGAAGGCGGCTGGCGATGCGGACCTCGAACAAGTCTCCGCCTCTGTCAACCGTGCGGAGTTCAGTAAAAATGGAAGACGTACTTCCTAATAATAGCTCGTCTCCAGGGAGATCGAAGTTGATCCCCAGTGCTGCGGTGGGTGGCCATGGCGGAGACCAAATTGATGAAGATTTCGAGATTAGAAATGATGCATTGGACGTCACTGAAAGAGACAATAATGCCTCCCGGGAGGATTCACGTGAACGCGCAATGGGACGCGCTGTCGTTGCTGTAATGTTTACACATGCGGGATTTAAACATGCGTCGTCCCTAGCTGTAGAAGTCCTAACTGATGCACTTGAAGATTTTGTCGAAAGAATAGGACAGTCACTGGTTTCCTGTCGGGAAAACATCGATCGACCGTACTCGAAGGTAGACTCCGAAGGTGTGGCTTCGCGGAAGCCCTCGAAAGAGGAAGTATTTGCAATGCTAGATCTTGTCTGCGAATCTGGGTTTCAAGGCAATTTTTATGACCTTGAAGGATATGTTCGGTATGACATTCTTCGCAACGAGCAAGGCTTGCGTGAGGCCGAATTAAGGCTTCGAGCCCAGATTACGAAGCTCAACCAAGAGATGGCCAAGACAGAGACACGGCAAACGGGTAGCGCTTCGTCCGCTGCCGACGCGGGACCCGCCAATATCACCCCAGAACAGAATAAGAGCCCGGCATCTCAGGTGTTTACACCCAGAAATGATGTACGGCTTGACGGCAACGCTTTTACTTTTGGGTACCTAGGAAGTGGCGTCTGCCTGGACGTTCTCGGGACAATAAAAGTACCACGCAAGCTTGCTGGCGACACTCCACGATTGGAGGACGTCACTATGGCTCCTGTGTCTGTTTCGGACAAGGAGAACGAAGGATCTAAAGACCCTGATAAGGCGCCAAATTTCCTGGCTTCTGGAAGTGGGTAACCACCACAGGCGAATCCCGGCGCAACGCACTCCTGCTGATTCATTTGAAGACTTTGCAAGTCTCGGAATAAAGATTTCTTTCTAAGGAAAAGCAGACAGTCATTCTCTGCCTGGCCTTCTCTACAATGACGCCTGGACTCGCGAGCAGAGGCTTGCAAGAGGAGTATCATAGTTTGCAATCGGCTTTGTCAGACCACTTTTGTGTACTGAACTTTCGCCCCCTGCCGGATGGATACGCCATTGTACAGCCTGCAATTCACATATCATGTGCGTGGATAGGCCTGGCGCTTAGGTGAGACCGATGGTTCCTGTGGTGTCAACTATCAATTCTAGTTGACTTCCCGGAGGTCCGGCTGGCAAGAGCAACTCCACAACTCGGTGCTGGGGCGTGCGTAATAAACTGGTGATACCGCAATGAAACACATGGCCCAAGGCTTTTGAGAGTGCTGCCGTTTCTGACATCGCAGTCAACATCTGCAAGTGCACTCACGCCGGGAGGGGTTCATTGCCTGCTCTTTGTACTGGCAACATTCCGGGTTTCTCATTTCCCTTCAAATTCCTGAGAGCTTGCTTGGAAATCATCGCTGTTTGGGGAGCACCCATCGTTGATGCTGAAATCGCTGTCAGAACACTCAATGCACCATTTTCCCGAAGAGCATTTCGCGTTACCCCTGCCGAATACGCCAGATTGCAGATGCCGAGAGCGGCGTATTGCATAGTTTCTGCGGCGTCGGGTCCTCTCCCACCGTTTTTAGAGAGCATCTCAACCAGCCAAGCGGCTGCCCCGCTTCGTGCTAGGGAGCCATGCGCCTCAACCATTTGAGACATCGTTGCGATACAAAAAGCAGCGTCTTTAGCAATTCTAGAATCCTCCTTCGCAGCCTGCAGCATGACAGAGATTGTGTCTGCCTCGACCAACTTGATGGTGTGCTCCATACTCTCCGAAATTTTGGCCAAAGTTGCAATCGCGAATCGCCGTGTGTCGCCAACCGAAGAACTTGCCGTCCTCACCAGAGGGCCGAGGATACCACTCTGCCCCAGCATCACCCTACTCACACCCCCAAGGGATAGGTTGTAGAACGCCCTTGCGGCGTCACGCCTGGCCGCCTCGTCCTTCGACACAAGCGACAAGGACAAGACTTTCAGCCCACCGCGAGCGACTTCCACTTGATGATTTCCGCTCTTTGCCATGTTTGCAAGGAACTGTACTGTCCATCGCCCATCATGTTTAAGACATGGACGCGCAAGTATCGCTTTCAGGGCACCTCTTGGAGCCATGAGAGGCTGGACCTTTTCCCATCCCGCCAAAATACCCAGCGCGGCTACGGACTCCTCCCAGTACTCACCTTTGCCTTTGCTTGCCCCTCTCACAAGCACTTCCAGCAGGCCTTGGTCCACCATGCCTTGCGCAAGGGTCTCATCTCTGCACATCGCATGGACTGCTTTGAGAGCTGGGAGATCCCCCCTGGCTACTGGGCCGTTAATGATTTGTCCGCTTTCCTTCGCAAGCAATGCACAAAGCGCAGGCGGGGCCAAAACTGGGGTTTCTCCGTTCCTTTTATCGGTGCCGCCCCCTCCAAACAAGGCGGTCAGTGTCCGGTAAACAGTTCTTGCAATACCGGCATTTTTTTCGTTTACGAGGTTAGCAAAATCTCGAAAGGCAGGCTCAAGCCACCGTCGAATGATGGCGGCCTTGTGATGGCCCGTGGTCATAAGGTCTCCAAACGCGAGCACAGAAAAGGTCCTAGTTTGCGGCGATGCCTCCTTCGCCATACCAGCACGCAAAGCGTCGACGGCACCGTTGACAACGAGCTCTCGATGCACGCGCCAATTAGCAACGGTGCGGTCGCCGTGCCTCGCGAGATTCCTGATGCCACCAGCCGCATACATCTGAGCGACAGATTCGTGTTGCTCTTTCATGAAATAGAGCAATCTTTTATGGCCTCCGCCTGCAACAACGTCACTAGGGGCGGACTTTGCCAACGCGGCGACAGCGAGAATGGTGCAGAGGACAAGCTCGGTGAGCTGGTGATCGGCGGCGGCGAAGTGGGAGACATCCGCAGTGCGGAGGGCGTCGCACAACAGCGGCAGAAGGCCGGCGTCGAGAAGGTGGGCATGCGTGAGGGAATTGCGTGCCAGGTTGGACGCGCAGCGGACGGCGTGGTACGAAATGCCGGCTCCAAGATCTGTTTGAGTCGGTGGAGTGGACAGCCCCGCGAGGTAATCCACCATGGCCTCCTCGTTGGACTGGGCCGCGGACATGTCGGCGGGGCGATCAGCGGGGATTTTGACGGAGTCGTCCGTCGAAGACCATCCAAGCAGAGACGCTGCCCACTCGAGCCATCCCTTGCCGTGGAGCGGTGGGGGATGATTCTTCAAGGTGGCGACAAGGGCATCGGCGACACTGGCGTTTTCAAAAAACGAGGCGGCGTTATTGCTCTTTGCCAGATCGGCGAGCACGCGGAGCAAATTGACGCGAACGGGATCATTGCGTGGATCGTAGTCGAGGTGGGTGAGCGCATGCGCAAGGGCAGTGGCGGCACCTGCCTGGAGCAAGGGGGCGTGGTTGTCGGTGTCATTGGCGAGGATCGAGAGGGTTTGCAGGGCGGAGGGGTCGGCCGTGGCGACGGAGCGTAGCAGGGCGGCGTGCGCGCCCGAGTAGGCGCGGGCCGCATCGGAAGGGGGGCCCGCATCGAGCGGGACGGCGAGGGAGGCGGAGAAGAACGGTGGGGCGGAGGCGGAGACATCGGCGGCGGCAGCGGAGGAGGAGGAGGGGTAGACGTAGGCCGCGGCGACGGCGGCGAAGGCGACGGCGGAAAGAGGGGCGGAGCTCGTGCGAGGCAGCGGGTGAGTGTGCTGCGGCGCGGGCCTCCGGCGGTGGGGGTGGCGCAAGAGACGCGGGAGGAGGGGGATGAGGCGGAGCGGGCGGGCGGGGGTGGCCATGGTGGTGGCGGGGTTAGAAGCGCGGTGGAGGGGAGTGCGGCACTGCTCTCGACGGGCACCGGCGGTGGCGGGGCGATAGCGGACGGG